CAGGGGTGTTGGAGATGTGTCCGGAGGAGAATCAACATTATCTTGCCTGGCAACTGCCTCGGGGGAGGCCATCACTGCTGCCTCAGTCATCACAGACTTTGTCTCCTCAGACAAAAGTGGAAAGGCTGATGGCAGCATGGGTCAGGGAGGGGATGTTGCCACTGCTAGGGTTGGGGAAGCTGTTTCTTCTGGCAAAAAAGGATCATCAAAGTTTACAAACTCAGGGTCCCCAGCTTCATCAGGGTCCGCCCACATGTCCCCGTTCCACATTGCAGGGTCCTGTTCTTTTCCAATCAGTGCACCTGGTGAGGCTGTGCATGCACCTTTCATTGCAGGTCAGCCATCTCACATGATAAGGGCTTGCGTCTGTTTTTCCGCAATTTCAGCTCTTTCTCTACAGGAGTTAAGACTCTCACTCAGGGCAATCTTGGCAGATCTGAGGCTCAGTATCTGCCTCTGAAGCTGGGAGTTAGAATCCCTGAGCTCATCATTTCCTTTCATCACTTTGTCCAGTGAACTCAGGAGCAACCAACCAGCTTCGTTATGCTCCTTGGCTCTCCACATGTGGTCAGAGGTATTATGTACAGAGTCTCTAAACTCTTTGCCTCTCACGAGCAGCGAATCAGGAGTGTCAAAAGCATTCATTTTGCATAACTCTCTAAACAGTTACTATCAGTTTCTAAACAAGGACTATCAGTGTTCTCCATACTGTTAGAAATAGAGTCCTTAGCATTTTTAGGTCTAATCATATTAAGCAGCCAACTCAAGAAACCCCAAAACCAGTGAAAGAGCTGCATCCTTAATATTCTGTTCCTCTAGAACCACTTTTGGTACCAAAATCCATAATAGGGTTCCCTAGAGGGACAAACAGAATAGGATATATGTGTGTGTGTGTGTGTGTGTGTGTGTGTATGTGTGTGCACGCGCGTATACAGGATATATATATGTGTGTGTGTGTGTGTGTGTGCATATACAGGATATATATATGTGTGTGTGTATATATATAGGGATATATATGTGTATATATATATATATGATCTTTTCTTGCCCCCTATAACTATGACCAACTTTGCGTAATATTATTTTAGTCTGATCTGATGACTTCCATGCACTTCTGCTTTAAAAGCCTTATTTCTGGTAGGTGGTCATTAACCGCATTTAGGTATTATTACTTCTGCTTCTTGTCCAGTTTACAGTCTTCCTTCCCCGCCCAGTAGAACTTCTGTTCTACTGTACTGGCCTCTGGCGGAAGACGAGGACCTGGCTGTCTGCTGTCCCTTCTGTCTTCAGTGCCTGAATGCCTGCCGCAGTGGGTAAGGACGGATGTGAGGGAATGAGTTGGTTCACGCAATGGTCCACACACCTCTGGTTCCTCCCCCTCCTCCCCTACTTTTTTTTTTTTTTGCAATGGTTGCTTGCTACTTTGGCTGTCATTGGTGAGGTAGGGTTGCTGACACCTGTTTGAACTGGCACCCTCTGATGCCCTTGTTCTCTTGGCGTGAGGGCAAAACTCTAGCCCGAACATGATTCCCTCTGCCCTTCCTTCAAGTTTCATTTCACCCCGGAAGGAGCTGAGCCCATCAGTGTTCCTGGTAACAACTTACCCAACTTTCCCCCAACACTGAGGATTGGGAGACACTTCAGGGCGCTCTTCAGTAGCGTCTAGAACCTGAGGAAACTGGGTCTCTACCTCTGAGAGTTCCCAGCTGCCTCTGCCTCTAGGTGAGAAGTGGAATCTCTTCTCATTGAATGAGTTAAGGCAACAAGGCAAAAGCCCCGTTTTCCTCATGGGGGAAGGAATGGGGAAGGTATCGTCTGTCCTCAATACATCTCTGAATGAATGAATAAATGAATGAATGTAATAAAAATATTTCCTCGACATTGAAGTACATATTTTCTCCTTTAACCATTTGTTACTAATTTCAATGTTAAAGATTTTTATGTGTAGGGTTGAAAGCATTTCTTAACCGATAGTGAGGGCGACAGCCATTGAACACGTGCCATTCCTCATCTTCTTTGAGAGGAGAGTATGGGACAAGAGTATCCTGATCTTTGTTCCTCATCCACATTCTCGTATGGAGGAAGCTATTTTACTTATCATGAGCCTCAATTTCTTTATCTGTAAAATGGCAGCAATTATCTCCCGGATTTTCTATCTCAGAAGGTTTTGTGAGTATTTAATGCAATGGTACACGGTGGAGTTTCCAGCCTTGGCACCACTGACATTTTGGGCCTGTTAATTCTTTGTTTTGGAGGGCTGCCCCATGCATTACAGGATTTATGGTCCTTACCTACTAGATTCCAGAAGCAGCCCCCTTACCTCAGCTGTGACAACCAAAAATATCTCTGCACAGTGCTTGACGTTTCTTGGGAGGCAAGGGGCACATTTGCTCCTAGCTGAGAACCACTGGTATAAGTGAAGTGACCGTAGACTGGTCAAGAGCAAGCCATCCTAAAGCACAGTGTGCCAGGTGAAGATTAAGGATTTAAACTGTTCTTTAGAATGTAATGAGTTACGCAGGAAAGGCTCCATGCAGCAGCTTTCTCTTTGATTGTGTTACGTTGTACTAATCGGAGTATTGTATCCACTGTATTGAAGAAGAAACATGTATTAGGCGAAATGATAAGAAGATAAAATCTAGGTGGTCGGAAGATTTTTAAATGTACAATTTTGTGACAATGCGTGAAATATTATTTAAAACAGGATGTAATAAAATACTGATTTTAGAAGTGCAGACAGATCTGGGTCTGTCAGATGTCCGTGAAGACACAAATAAGGTAGCAAGGAGGAACGTGCAGAATGTCCACCTCGGTGGATGGCAGGAGTGAGGTGGACTTGGAACAGAGAGTGTAGAACCAAGTAGAGCAGAGGCCTGGGATGAGTCTGGCTCCCTGTGGCCTTGCAATGGCCCCTTCCCGCTGTTACGGCTAGTGCAGTGAAAAGACCCACTTAGCAGTGACAACCCATTCACTCAGGACTCAGCCTTGGAGGAAAATTGTGATGATGATAGGCAAGGCTTGTGTAGAAGACAAGAAGAAATAACTTACAGGAAAGAGCTTGAGTGGTTTACAAAGGGGTTCTCTGACTGGTGTGTGCCTATTTCAGCTGGCCCAGGCATGGCTAGTGCAAATAAATTTAAGTTTTTGTGAATATTGGTTCTGTCCCCTGTGACCTGTTTTCCTCTGTTGGTTTGCTTCATGGAAGAAAATGTTGGGGGTGCAGATTTCTTGTGTTCTTTTCACTATAAAGTATTGTCTCCCCACTGAAGGCCAGAGGCTGGGCTAATGAAACTAACTCACTGTTTGATCTAAGCTTTTGTCTTCAGAGAGGTGTTAGTGAGGTGTAATGAAAGAGCGTAAGCAAGGAAATTGAGGAGAGGTGACATGCTTGTCTGTCATCATCAGCAAGTTGCCACCACTCTTCCTTCAATTTCCTTATCTGTAAAATGGGGATAAAGAACTATTCTGCAGCATTGTTTTGAGGACCGGCTAACATGTTGTGGTGTCAGGATGGGGGGAGGTACTGAAAAATAGGAGCTATTAGGAATTACTATTTTAAACACAAGGAATTCTAAATCTGAACTAAATGAAATGTTTTCAAATTAAAGGTACTTTGAATTTATATTTAATGAACTATAAATTAAATACGAATTAATCTTCATTTCAGGCCCTTTGTAATATTAGTAGGTTGAGGTCCTTTATCATTTCTGAGCTAAATAATCTTGTTTCATCAAAATATCCGAGGCTGGGTTATGTCAACTATTGATTCCAGATATGAAATACACCCTCAGGTTTATTCTTCTTTAATTAAAGTTTGTTATTGGGTTGAAGATTTGAATTTGCCCACCAATAGAGGCTTAATTTCTTTGAGATCTACAGGTTCAAGCTGGTTTTCCTAATAGAGTCAGTATAGATAAAAAGTGATGCTGGGCGCAGTAGCTCCTGCCTATAACCCCAGCACTTTGGGAGGCCGAGGCGGGTGGATCATGAGGTCAGAGTTCAAGACCATACTGGCTAACATGGTGAAACCCCGTCTCTACTAAAAATAAAAAAAAAAAATGCAGCTGGGCCTGGTGGCGCGCACGTGTAATCCCAGCTTCTTGGGAGGCTGAGGCAGGAGAAGCGCTTGAACCTAGGAGGCAGAGGTTACAGTGAGCTGAGATAGAGCCACTGCTCTCCAGCCTGGGCGACAGAGCAAGACTCTGTCTCAGGGGTAAAAAATAAAAAGTGGTGATGATTTTATTCTGCACTTCATCAGGTGGACAATAAGTTTAAAATGCATTAACAAAAAGCTATTTTTTCTGATGACTGATGATACTACTTACTTTCAGTGTGATATTTGGACCCTTTGGACGGGAAACAAACTCTCATGGATTCTTTGACAGCGTAGCCCAAGTCGTAGGGGCCTACTTGAAACAACAACTTGTTAAAGATGTTCGTACCTCTCATTTTACAGTGAAATAGGTTTGATAGAATCTGCTGTGCATTTGACAGCATGTTGGGAGATGATTAAAAGGTTTTTAAATCCTTTGATTCGGCCGGGTGCGGTGGCTCATGCCTGTAATCCCAGCACTTTGGGAGGCTGAGGCCGGTGGATCACGAGGTCAAGAGATGGAGACCATCCTGGTCAACATGGTAAAACCCCGTCTCTACTAAAAATACAAAAAATTAGCTGGGCATGGTGGCGCGTGCCTGTAATCCCAGCTACTCAGGAGGCTGAGGCAGGAGAATTGCCTGAACCCAGGAGGCGGAGGTTGCGGTGAGCCGAGATCGCGCCATTGCACTCCAGCCTGGGTAACAAGAGCGAAACTCCGTCTCAAAAAAAAAAAAAAAATCCTTTGATTCTAGGAGATATGAAAGGAAACAGATTGTTCATTATTCTTTCAACAGGATTACAAAAATCTGATATGAGCAGGTTGAAAGTAGGAAGGAGAAAATTAAAATGGAGCTATTTGGAAATAAAGGAAAGAAGGAAAGAGCTTCCAAAGAGAGCACATGGCTGTGGTTAAGAGCAGGTTTTCTTTATGGACCACGTTACAGAACATACTTATAATTGCATTCCCATTTCTACCACTACCATGTATCGAACTAAAACAAAGAGAATAGCTATGCCGTTTTGCCAGCAGGTGGCACCATGAGAATCTTTTAGAAGAAACAGGAAGTCCCTGAAAGCCGGACTCTTACTATTTTCCCATCAAGTCCAGTCATCAATATATATTCATATTTTTGATGACATCATAAACATATCACTTAAAATATTTTCAGAAGATTCATTCTTCTCTCCTTTTTCATATGTTAGCATCGTTCATTCAAGAATTTTTTTTTTGAGATGTAGTTTTGCTTTTGTTACCGAGACTGGAGTGCAGTGGAGTGATCTTGGCTCACCGCAACCTCCACCTCCCAGGCTCAAGTGATTCTCCTGCTTCAGCCTCCTGAGTAGCTGGGAATACAGGCATGTGCCACCACACCCAGCTAATTTTGTATTTTTAGTAGAGATGGGGTTTCTCCATGTTGGTCAGGCTGGTCTTGAACTCCTGACCTCAGGTGATATGCCCACCTCTGCCTCCCAAAGTGCTGGGATTATAGGCGTGAGCCACTGTGCCTGGCTAAGAAATATTATATTCCCGGAAAAAAAAATAGGGAGTTTAAAATAAAATTGTAATTCAATTATGTTTGTTTGTTTTTCTCTGTATTGCTTAACATAGTCATTTGAGGAGCACATTTCCTTAGCAATAATGGCATATGTTACTGTGAGGTCTATGTTAAATGGTTTAGAGGAAGAAACTTAGAAGGCACCCTGTTTTCACACTCCTCTCCTGCCCTGGACAATGAGGATTCCCCATGCCCAAATATCTCCGCAATGCTAAGCAACCTCTCCGACTCAGGAGGGACCCTATGCCGGAGATAATGGGCATTTCTGGCCTTTGAAAGCAACTCTAAGAAGGTTGGCTTTGTGAACTCGCCTTGGAAGCGTCCTGCACATTCCACGTGATTTGGGGGCATTTGTTTTCCAGTGTTCCCACCTGGCTTTAGAGCAACATCTTTTGATCTGGTTTCATCAGCACGTGCCATTCCACTATCACTAGTTGGGCTGGAACTAGGACCTTGTTCTGTGGTGTTGGTGGAAACCGCTTGATCTTGGCACAGAACACAGATGCCCTTGCTGGTGTCTATGTCCTTAGGTGGATTCACAGAACCTTTCTCTTGGGCTTGTGGAGGCTCTTTTATGAAGCAGGCAGTTCTGTTATTTTGAGACAGTGGCTGCTCTTTGCTCCTCATGGGGTCTTTGAGGCCAGTGTCACGTGAAGGAGGAACCTGGGACTTGCTTTTGTATGTGTCTTGGGTCCTACTGGTTGCTGATGCTCTAAGAAAGGAGACGAAAGAAAGAAAACCAATGAAGAGGGTCTTTTTTAGATATTTCAACTTATTAGAATGTGGCCCCTGTCAGTATCAGCCAAGGTAATATGAGTGGGAATGGGGTGGAGGGTGAAATTGAGTGGTAACAATGTGGGGGAAAATGTCTCGCTTAAGAAGGGGAAGGGAGCATTTCCTCAGGAAACCAGTTTAAAGAGGTCAGTTGGGAAGAGTGACTTAGTGTCATACCCATGAGCTTAGCAATCTATTTCTTACCTCATTTTCTTAGCCTGTGGGACTCTGTGCTTCTGCCCTCCCTGTGGTGAGAACATGAGAACATCTTCTGGTCTCTTCTGAATTCCATTCCCCAAATAAGAGGAGAAATGTTTCTTCATGGTTTCTGCTTTGAGTTAATTAAGAAGTATTTTGAGTCGGATTGTGTGCTCAAATTTTTATGTTCAAGTCCTAACCCCCATTGCCTCACAGTGGGACCTTATGTAGAGATAGAGTCTTTACAGAGATAATTAGATTCATTAGAGTGGGTCCTAATCCTATATTACTGGTGTCCTCATAAGAAAATGAACTTTGAACACACAGACACATACAGGGAGAGCACTAAGAGAAGATAGCCAAGGAGAGAGGCCTGTAAGCCAAGGAGAGAGGCCTGCAACAGATCCTTCCCTCACCGTTTTCAGCAGGAACCAACATGGCTGACATACTGATTTTGAACCTCTAGACTCTAGAATTGTAAGACAATACATTTTTGTTGCTTAAGGCATCCAGTTTGTAGTTCTTTGTTATGGCAGCCCTAGGAAATTAATATAAGAAGAAGAAAAAGAATTCTGCAAACTGGGCTTTCAGAGAACCAGTGTGTATAAACCTTGGTTTACATTACACGTTAGGCTGATCTGCTGTGATAGATGGTAACAGAAAAATGTAAAGCAGTTTTCCAGTGTTTACCTAGAATATGTTAAAGAGGATTTAGAAACACCAACATCAGAGGTTTAAACTGGCTAAGCCCATGGAGGTCTCCTTTGAAGATTTTACTTGGCAAACACAATGTTTTCAAAAACAAAATGACTGGATATGAGTGGATTGTCTCTTTCACTGCAATTACGTGACCTCCTACCACCCGTGAGTTTGCAACTGCCAGCCATGACTAAGTGGACTTGTTGAGTTGATGTCTTAACATCTTGTAGTCATAGCTGCTTTGGAAAACTCAATTAGTTTTTAAGACATCTCATGAATTGGTCATTTAGAGATGAAAATCTTGGACAAGTTTTGCTCTAATGGGAAAGAATTCCTTAAATCTACAACTTGGTTAGTAGGCACCAAGCAGAGGGAGTATGGCCAGATAGGGAACCTAGAATTCGCACTGAACTCCTAATACTCTTTCATCTGGCCACCTCTTTGTGAAGTAACCAGAACAAGGAAGAGTTCTTTGTGATCCTCTCTTCTAGGGGTCTCTTCCACGTAAGAACTTCAATTTTATATAAATAAACTGAGGGATTTTGAGCTACTTCTCCCAGCAAGGTCTGTCTTCTGAAGTTTAGACCTACAGGGTCAATAGATTCAGAAATGGACATATCTTTTCTCGGAAACTTAATCTTTCTCCAATGTTCTCTCTGTGAAGGTATGGTACTTCTACCCACCCAGTTATCAAATTTAACAAGCTCATTTGAGTGCCCTCTTTGTGCCAGGCAATATGCTTTTGACTGGTTTTCTTTACCCTTGGACATACGTTTAGTTATAAAGCTCTGACAGTTATACTTTCTAAACATCTTGAGATGCTGGTCTTCTCATTTTCTTCACCTGACCAGTGCTCGTTTAGGTCTTGAAACCACAGCTTGAACCTTATAATTCTATCAGGTCTATTCTGCCTAAGTTCTATTTTACCTTATATGTTTTAACATTTGAGCATGCAATCTTCTTCACCAGTCTCAAACCCTATGGGGTGAACTCTCAACTCTTTTGCAAGACCTGTGAAGCCATTCATGATTGAATTGGATTGGAGACGTTGGCTATATTGTGTTATCTCTGAAAACTGCACATACACCTTCTCCTCCCCACTTCCATGTCACATGCCCACAGTACTGAGCTGTTTGAAGCAACCGGTGGTCATTTATGTGCTTTTATACATACTATTCCTTTTGCCGGGAGTAGCCCCATTGTACACATCCTCCTGATAAACTTCCCACCCTTTCCCCCATTCTCCCCCTCCTCTAAGATTCTGCTCACACACTGCGTCTTTAGGGAAATCTTAGCTAAAGCCCTTTGATAGACACAGGAACCTTTCTATGTTCCTGCCCTACTTTGTGAAGAACTCCATTAAGAGTTGGTCATCATTTTTTATAAGTGGAACTACTCCCCAATTTAAATATGAGCACTGTGAGGGCAGAGACCATGGTTTTTCATATTTGCATTCCAGACTCTATCTGAGTCGCTGTTTTGCAAAGTCTGGTCTGAAAAACACCTTTCCCAGAATAATCTGCCTTAGTATCATCTCAGTTGAAAATGTGGATTTTTAAGCCTAATTTCTAACCGGCTGACTCAAAGGACTGGCAACACGAATCTTAAATAATCCACTCACTGGCATATAATTAAATCTCAATAACAATTTGATTTAAATGAATCCTGGAAAACTATTGCCTAGCACAGTGCCTAAGAAATATTGAGAATTAATATGTATTGCTTCCTTCCTTTATCCCCGATTTTACTGTCAAGAAGTCTGAGGCTTCGAGAGGATATGTCCTACCAAAGGACATGGAGGCAGAAGCACCTGAATCAAAGTTTTATGCCTCCTGATTCATACGCTTTTTAACCCAACTCTACTCAGCAAGGACAGCCACTTATGTAGGGCCTGACCTTTTGTGCACCCTCCTGAGAGCAGGCATCTGAGCTTCAGTGTCCTTTTTGAATAAGAGTGGGAATCCACCAAATGGCTTCTAAGACCCTTTTCCAGTATGTGAGCTCTCATTCTAGGTTGGTTTAACTATTTATTGCAGACAGGGAAATTGAGAGCAGAGGAGTTCAACTGCTTGTTCAGACTCATCTTTCAAACCCAAAGCTGGAAGTTAGAAAGAATTCCCAGGCTAGACATTTGGCTGTTACTCTAGGCCTTTGTGTCATGTATTAGCTGTGTTGACCTGAAAGAGTGTATGTTCATTTACAGCACCTGGCCTTCCTCTTGAATACACTCTGTCTGTTTTAAACTCCTGAGTTCTGGCACTTGCCTTCAGTAAGAAAGGATGTAGTCTTCAAGACCTGAGATATTTCTGTCCTGTGCTGAATTTTTAAGTCATATTAAAATCTAATTGTTTTAATGATGAACAAAGGAGAACTAGTTTCTACAGACTGTACAACTGTGGCAGTTTTCAACAAAAACAGTAGAAGAGTTTCAATTCAGTAACAATTTTTAATTGATAAGAGTGGGTACTTATATAGCACTTACTTTATGTTTTGGTACTATTCCAAGTGCTCACTGAATCCTCAAATAAACTCCATAAGGTAGAAAATATTTTTATTTTACATGGGAGGAAGCTGAGGTACTAATTCCAGGGAAATTTTTTATTTTCTTTCTTTTTCTTTTTTAACTTTCATAAAGTGGGCTAGGACAGTGACTTGTACATTAGTAACTGCTCCATAAATTGTTGTTAGATCCAAAAGAGAAAGATCAGATATTTAAAAAGGAGTGAAACAGAATCAACCCCAGATAACGTAAGAAAAGTAAAATGAAAAACAAAATTTAAAAGGAGAAAACTAAGGATTTAAGCAAGAAAGAGCTAATTTGAAAGATGGCAGTGACTGGAAGCCTGAGAAATGTTAGCTTAAGCAGGCTTAAGAGTGGGCTGCTGCAGGGAGCTATGTAATTGATGGGAGAGGGACAAGGGAGGGTGGCAGCCTAAAATCCAGGCTGTGATCAGAAGCTGTTGCTGTCTTGGCACTCAGGGCTCTGAAAGGGCCTCAGCGGAGTGACGGGCCTACTGCCCTGCTGTGCCTCCGGGGCAACCTGCTCCCCAGTCCTGAAAGTCTTACCTTGCCGTAACCTCTGCAGTTCTTTTTGGAGCTGCTTCTGCTCCCAGGTCAGCAATTTTGTATGGTAGAGGCAGATGTACTCCAGTCTCTGCAGTCTTTGGTCCAGTCTGGCTGCAGCCTGCTTGGCATTCTTCCTCTCCAAATCAAAGTGCTTATACAGTTGTTCCCTGACCATGTGCCTCTCCATCTTCTTCAGGGTCTAGAGACAATAAGGTGCCACAGCTAACCTGATATTGGAAGGCTGGGATGCTGACCCCTGGCTTTTAATCAGAGATCAGTGGTTGAACCTGTGTCTTTCTGAGACCAGAACTGCCTCGTCAGATGAAATCCCACTATTGTTAAATGAGTTTCCAGAGTAACACAGGATTGAGGGTAGTCATTCTTCAGCCTCCTTGTCAATAAAATAGTGATACAATACAATAGGCTCCCCCAACACAGCTCCCAGTCAGATTTCTGTGAAGATCAGGTGAGAAGTATATGAACAACTCATTGGGGAAAAAAAAGGCAGTCTACATATATACATAAGGCATTATTTACCCAAGAAGAAAAACCTCTTTGACTGTTTCTTACCCTCAGAGAGGCTGCTCGGAGGTCTGGAGAGGATTTGGGAACTTAGGGCACAGCCATTCCTCCCCCACCATCCTGCCAGTTCATTAATTCACATGTGCATAGGTTCATTCAGTCTGTAATCCTACTATATGCCTATGCTAAAAGCTACGGGTAATGGTGAGTGAGACCCAGTTTGTACTCTCAAGGGGCTTTCTCAAAAACCGGGTATCCTGATTATAAAGTAGAACAGCATTCGCAATGAGTAGTCTGGGGAACACTGGGAAAGCTGCTTAGATTGGGCGAAAGCTCCTCTTCTCATCCTCATCCATCTTCTCAGACTTTAGATGCTCTCCTCCCTCCATGTACTCTGATGTCTAAGCCCACACCTACTTCTTTCTCCTCCAAATAGGGACATGTTTGTCTCTCCTTTGAGTCTTTGTAATACTTATCTCAGAGCTGAGAGCACAATATGTGCTCAGGATATAAATGGATTGCTATCGATAAAAGTTTTGGTGATTACAATACAGAGAAAAGCTTAACATTAAAAAGGAGGATGAGGTCAGGATACGGAAAGAAATACATTTTAAGGCACTTGTTTTAAAGTCTAAAGCACAGACTAAACTTGTATTAAAGAACAGGGCCGGTAGAACTCACCTCCAAATCCAGGGTTCTCAGCATGAGACTATGTCTTGTTTCTTTTGCTATGTCAGGCTGAGTCTGGATTAACGGGTTTGTTTTTCTTCAGTAAACTTACGAGTCTGGTGTTTTGGAGAAAGAACGGAGGGAGACCGTTGGAGAGGGCTGGCAGGAGAATGTTAAATACACTTGAAAGCTCTCTTCTTCCCTCCCTACCTCCCCTGGTCAGGAATGCTAGCTCCTTGGGCGATGGCACCAATTCCTGCTAGAGAGGCCAGAGCTCTAAATAGCCCTGTGGGTAAAAGAAGCCTGCCAGCTTCAAGCCTGTCCCCAGAGGGGCCCATAGTGCTCCTTCTGGGCTGTGTCCATGGGAGCCAGGAATGAAAGCAATGAGTGTCTAACTGTGTTCTCAGTCTCTCTCTCCCACCCTTCCTCTCTTCTTCTCCTCCTTTCCCTCTCTTTTTCTTTTTCTTTGCCATACCTCCCTTCCCTAACCCTCATTGCTACTTCTCGGAAAGCAGGTCAGCCTCGTGAGAAAGCACCCTGTTTTTTTCTGCCGTGAAAGCACTTTGTGGAGGACAGCAGAGAACTGTTTACTTTGCATTGCTGCACACCGCACTGACTTCCCCAGGCCTCTCTACGTGCTCAGTGCCCTTCAGTGCTTATCAAGATTTTCAAAGTGGTGAAAGCAGCACTAAGCAAAGTAAAATTAAAAGAAACTTTTGTGCTCATATTTTGAACAGTTCCAGTTGAAGGCCAAGCAGAACTGTTGTTTATATAACAAGATACTGAGTGGGATTTTTACTGTTGCCTTGGAGCTCCATCTGAAAATAAGAGGCACTGATATGCCACAGTCTAAATAGAGCCGCCAACACTGAGGCCTGATGATCCTCCCAGAGTTTACTGAGAGGCAGGTGGCTAAACAGGCCCTACTAACCACAATCATTGCCCAGCAAATAAATAATTATAAGGAGATTATGAGGGGTGGCAGGGGAGGAAGAGCATGCTGTTCTCTCAGCAGGAGGTAGTTCCTTTCCCATTCTTTCTCATGAGGTAATTCCCTTGCCTCCAGAATTTAAATGAATGAGGTGGAATTCCAAGAACATTATCTGAGAGAATGAGGTGCCATGCAAGGGAAGACTGGGCTTGGGATCTACCCCCAGCTAGAGGCTTGTCGACTGCACAGCAATAGAGCAGCCCCCATTTCATCCCCTTGTTGCCACTATAGCTGATGACAGTGGGAGATTTCTTAGAAAACTTGGTTCCTGGATGTCATTTTGAGAGGGAACTGAAGAGGAAAGGCTCACAGAAATAATCTATGGCTGAAGCACAAGAACCTTAGTGTGGAGTGCCTAGGGAAAGAATGGTGGCTAAAGCTCTCCTAGTTACTCTCAGCCCTCTGAGAATGCCAGAGAGGACCTGGCTTCATGGGAGGGAGCAGAGGGATTATATGAGGGGGTGGAAATCATGGCATAGTCATCACAGTGCTCTTCTTGGAAGATAGTGCTTTATCCGGAGGTGAAATGGAATCACAGGCAGGGCCAGAAGGAGGCAAAGACAGAAGGGATCTGAGTGAAGATGAACTCCCTCATAAAACCACACATCTTGAAAGCAGAGTGCATGGGAACACAAAGAATAGACAGGAAAATCTATCTAAGGGAACATGGGAACACAAGAATAGATAGAAAAGGCCAGTGATGCCTTAGCATCACAAATGTGGCATTTCTATAGGAAGATCTCTGCCTCCCAGCCCATGGCCTTAAAGTGGTTAGTGTTGAAAAGACAAAGGAGAGGAGGAAGAATGATAGAGCAGATAATCCTCCTTTTCCACCTCCAAACCTCCTGGAGTCCAGTGAGGAGGGGGTTAAATTATGTGTGAAATTGGAGTTTCAAAGTGGAATGAAACTTTAAAAAAAAAACAAAACAAAACAAAAACTAACTTGCCAGAAATGTGTAGAATCTGCCTAGGATATCATTAAGGAACAAGAAAATGAACAAAAATAGTGTTTGGAAGTGTGAGACTATCATTCTCACATTATGTCCTTGCTTCTACCACTAGAGAAAGTAGTTCAAACTGTTTAGTAAAGTGGTTCTGATTAAAGTAAAATTTACAGAATAGATTTTTAATGCACGTCCATGTAGGTTTCTACAGTTCTCTCTGTTTTAGGTGGAGTCACATCCTTTTGTAGTCAAAACATATCTGAAATCAAATAATCTGTCATTTATAGAATATGTGCCTTTAGTCATTAATCCTGTCCTAACCCTTGGTTTCTTCATGGTAGGGTTAGAAGTATCTTTATCATAGGTTCTCTGATACAATCAAGAGAAATAATGAATCTAATTCATGTACAGTAGATGTCCAATAAAAGTTAGCTCCTGATTTTCAACAAAGATGGAATCATAGGAACTAGATTGACTTTTCTACATGAAACAGTTTAAAAAGCAGAAAAAATTTATGAAATAAAGAAAATAGAATATCAGGCAGAAAAGACTGTGATTCCTGAGAGAATGGAAACAAACCAGGTAATTCTCATTATTGCTGTAGCTTTCTGACTGAAAAGGGTGTCCAGGCCACAGTACAAGAATTGAGCAACCGGGCAGGGGTTCCTGACTTGAGGAGACAAAGGAGTAAGTTCAGAAAGACCAAAGTATCCAGAATTAGCAGGCTAGAAGCTTCAAGCAAAAGATATATGAATGAAACTACTCCAAGGTATATAAAATCAAATTATTATAAAAAGTAATAAAGAGATATTCTTAAAAACAGGCAAATGAAAAAAGATGCATTACAGATAGAGGAACACAAATAAGAATTACATGGACTTCCTACCAAAAAGGATGAAAACTAGAAGATAGTGGAGCAGAATTTTTCAAGTTCTGAAAGAAAAAAATCAACCTAGAATTCTATATTCAACAAAAATATCTTTCGTGAGCAAAGGAAAATTGAATAATTTTTCAGTCACACAGAAGCTTAAATCATTCTTCAGCAACAGGCCTACAGCTCAAGAAATGTTAAAAGATAATACTTCAAGGAAAAGAAAAGTTACACCAGATAGAAATCCAAATCTACAAAAAGAAATAAAGACCACTAGAAACAGTAACTACAAGGGCAAGTATAAAGGCTATTTTTCTTGCTCTATAAATCTTTTAAAAAAGGAATTAACTGTTCAAAGCAAAATGTAAAAATACAGCATGAGATATGTAGCATGTAAACAGCATGGGAACAGCAGTACAAAATTCAAATGAGAATAAATGGAAGCGTACTGTTATAAGGCCCTTATACAATATTTGCAGCAGTATACTATGACTTGAAGGTGGACTGTAATGAGTTAAAGCTGTATACTCTACACTCTAAAGCAACCACTAAAATAATATAACAAAGACTTATAAGTCATCGAGTAAGATAAAATTGAATTATAGCCAGGCGCGGTGGCTCACGCCTGTTATCCCAGCACTTTGGGAGGCTGAGGCGGGTGGATCATGGGGCCAAGAGATTGAGACCATCGTGGTCAACATGGTGAAACTATGTCTCTACTAAAAATACAAAAAATTAGCTGGGCATAGTGGCACGTGCCTGTAATCCCAGCTATTCAGGAGGCTGAGGCAGGAGAATTGCCTGAACCCAGGAGGTGGAGGTTGCGGTGAGCCGAGATCGCACCATTGCATTCCAGCCTGGGTAACACAGACGAAACTCCATCTCAATTAAAAAAAAAAATTGAATTATAAAAAAAGTAAATTTGAAATAAAGCAGAAAAATAGGAAAGAGAATAAAAGAACAATTTGGATAAACAAGAAATAGATGGTAAGATGATAGATCTTAACTCAAATATATTAAGAAATATAATAAATGTAAATGGCTTCAATGCCCCATTAAAAGGCAGATATTTTCAGATCAAATAAAATAACAAAGCCGCACTATATAATGCTGATAAAGGAACAAATAGAAAACACTTGTGAGATATAAAGAAATGAATAGGTTAAGAGTAAATGAATAGAAAAAGATATACCCTGCTAATGCTAAATAAAAGAAATTAGGGAAAGCTGTATTTATCCCAAATAAAATAGTATTCAGAGCCGATAATCCAACAATCAAAAATTCAGGAAACTTTGGACACACTTTTAGAAATGTGAAATGCTCTGAAAAGTCTCAACCATAGAATTGAACAAGTAGAAGAAAGAAAGAGCTTGAAGACAAGGTCTTTGAATTAACCCAATCCAACAAAGACAAAGAAAAAAGAATAAGAAAATATGAACAAAGCTTCTGGTAAGTCTGCAATTATGTTAAATGACCAAACTTCAGAATAATCGATGTTCCTGAGGAAAAAAAGAATTCTAAAAACTTGGAAAACATATTCAGGAGTAAAATAGAGGAAAACTTCCCTGGCCTTTCTAGAGAGCTAGACATCCAAATATTGGAAGCACAAAGAACACCTGGAAAATTCATCACAAAAAGATTTTTGCATAGCCACATTGTCATCAGGTTAACCAAAGTTAAGATGAAGGAAAGAATCTTAATTCCTGTGAGACAGAAGCATCATCATTCTTCACAGAATTCAGGAAAACAATTCTAAAATTCACACGGAACCAAAAAAGAGCCTTCATAGCCAAAGCAAGACTAAGCAAAAAGAACAAATCTGGAGGCATCACCCTACCTGATTTCAAACTATACTATAAGGCCATACTCACCAAAACAGCATGGTACTGGTATAAAAACAGGCACATAGACAAATGAAACAGAATAGAGAACCCAGAAATAAACTCAAATACTTATGGCCAACTGATCTTTGACAAAGCAAACAAAAACATGAAGTGAGGAAAAGACACCTTTTCAACAAATGGTGCTAGCATAATTGGCTAGCCACCTGCAGGCGAATGAAACTGGATCCTCATCTCTCACCTTATACAAAAGATCAACTCAAGATGGATTACGGACTTAAACCTAAGACCTGAAACTATAAAAATTCTAGAAGATAACATTGGAAAACCCCCTTTACACATTGGCTCAGGCAAGGATTTCATGACCAAGAACCCTAAAGCAAATGCAATAAAAACCAAAGATAAGTATCTGGGACCTAATTAAACTAAAGAGCTTTTGCACAGCAAAAGGAACAGTCAGCAACAGACAATTCACAGAATGGGAGAACATCTTTGCAATCTATACATCTGACAAAGAACTAATATCTAGAATCTACAACAAACTCAAATCAGTAAGCAAAAACCAAACAATCCCATCAAAAAGTGGTCTAAGGATATGAATAGGCAATTCTCAAAAGCAGATATACAAATGGCCAATGAACACATGAAAAAATGCTCAACATCACTAGTGATCAGGGAAATGCAAATCGAAACCACAATGTGATACCACCTTACTCCTGCAAGAATGACCATAATAAAAAAAATAGAAAACAGTAGATGTTGGCATGATTTGGTGAACAGGGAATGCTTCTACACTGCTGGTGGGGATGTAAACAAGTACAGC